TCAGATCTGTATTGTTGTTTGATGTAATCTCTTCAATCGCGATCCCTTTCTTAATTATATATTGTTATTATTACATGTTATTGCGCATGATTATTAGAATATAAATCGGATTACACGTCTTCATATGTCATCTGTAGAGGATATTTTATCTTATTCTTACATCTGTCATCGTAAATCGCTTTTATCGCAAAACGACATTTCATCACACCCCATCATTTTGTTCATTCGTTTTTTTTGCTCGACGACATTTCATCACACTTCGTTCGAGACGACATTTCATCACACGTCACGCGAGATTCTCAATTTCAGGTGATATCATAAAAATTTTGCAATTCAAAACGAACCTCTTCAAAGGATAACGAATCATCAAGCGTTCGGATGCACTATGTCCCAAATCAGATGGCGACTGTATACTTGATGAAACTATTAATAACTCTGATTATTCTGTTGAGCTCATCGGATCAAGTTCAGGCTTTCTCTGAACGCCAGCTTCATTTTGAAATCACTGAAGGTCAGTTTTGCCTTAATTAATTGCTTCATTCAAATATTATTCACCACAAATATTCACAAAATCGCAGTTTCAGGCGTTCCAAACGGCACGCTAATCGGTCGCGTTACTTACCCGGCCACTGGGCAACACCTCCATGATTCTTCATCCAGGAATGAAATTGCCCAGAATGGTAAGCACGAGCAGAAAGGACGGCCGATTCCAAAAGAAGAGGAAGAACCAGGAGAACAGGCGCAGTTCCGCTTAAGTGGTCAATGCGATTTCGCGAGTTTTGAGCCGAAATCGGGCGAAATTCGAACGGCAGTCGAGAGATTGGATCGAGAGGCGATTCGGGAGGCGAATGCCACCTTTCGGATGGTGCTCGTCTCACCTGGACATGCCAACATCATCACGGTACACGTGCATGTGCTCGATATCAACGATAACCAGCCAGTGTTTCCATCCACACTTCAGGTAGAGTTTGGCAGCATTGGTTTTGAGATTTGCGCTCTTTAACGCTCAATTTTAGCGAATAATATGAAGAGTTAGCGATGGGTAACGATAGGAATGGTTTGCGGTGCATAGTTTTAGAATTGTAACGGAAATGGAAGGGTTTAGCGGAACGAATGGCTTTTCGTTTGTTAACTTGTATTTTAACGGAACTCAGAAATTAACGAGCCTTAGGCTTAGTTCGGCATTTTGAAATCTAACGGAACTCAAAAGTTTTGAAATCTAACGGAACGGATCGAATGCTTCATTGGTTAATTCAAATTTTAACGGAACGGAACGGAGCTATAACGAATTATATTTAACGAATTCAACGGATGATCTGAATCAGATTCAACGGATCTCAGACGGATGATTTAACGGAATATTCGATATGCAACGGAATTCGATAAGTTCTGCTTGTCACAGATTAGAAATTTAGCAGCTGAATTTTATTTAGCTGACCTGAAATTAAACCAGGTTTCGTGATGGTGTGAAATATTAGGCCTAGAACTCTCATGGGTGATGAAATGCTTGATTTTGACCTGAATTTAGTNTTAGTTACCTTTAACGAGATTTGACTAATTAATATAGGTGAGGTGGGCAAGAGTGCCGGTGGCTCAAGCGGTAAGGTGTTAGCCTATTGTACGGACGGCCGCGGGTTCGGTCCCGGCCTAGGCCTAGTGGGTTTTTCGGTGGGATTTTTTGAATTTTTTCGTTTCTTTCGGAAATTTTTCATTTTTCAGAATGTTTCCGTGGTGGAGTCGGCCGCCATCGGTACACGGATTGCGTTGCAGTCGGCACGGGATGCCGATTTGGGCGAGAACGGCACCATAGTGGAGTATCGCATCATTTCAGAGGTATTTTGCGAAAATTTGTGGGAATTTTTTGCGGATTGATCCTAATTGATTGATTGATTGATCCAAATTGATTGATTGATTGATCCAAATTGATCCATTGATCGATCCTTTTCCGAACAACGAATCCATCCACGGATTTTGCTTTTGTATTTTAAAAAATTGTGTTTTTTCCCTATTTTTACAAATTGCAAAAAAAGCTCTTCCTTACTAATTTCCTGATTTACTGGGTATATTGCAGGATTCCGAACAGGAGCAGCAGCCCGTATTCTCTCTAGTTCATTCAACAGACTCTACAGCCACGACCTCAGGTAACGACCTGCTACTACTCGAACTCCAGCGTGAGCTGGATCGTGAAACGCGAGATTTCTACGTCTTCAATATTTCGGCCGCAGACGGAGGCGACCCTCCTAGGTCAGTCCAGATCATCTCATTACCCCCCCTCCCCTTTCCCCCTTAATTGGGCGCGATCTCAAGCCTAAACCCCCTTAAACTGAAGTGGCGGTGACTCTGGGCGCTTATTTAGCAACGCTCGGCTGATGCTCCAATGGCGCAGTTGGTTAAGCGTTGGCCTATCGTACTGGGGCTTAAGGGTTCGGTTCCGGCCGGAGTCCGAAAATTTTTGTCATTTAATTTTTTCGAATTTTTTCAAATTTATTCGTAAATTTCAGGTTTGGCTACTCGACTGTGCATGTGCATGTACTAGACACGAACGATAACGCACCAAAATTCGAGCGATCTCATTACGAAGTGTTTGTGTCACCGAATTCACTTGATGAAATTAACCATCAACTGGTGACAGTGCACGCTCGTGATGCTGACAGTGGCCGGAACGGACGAATTAGCTATCGACTCTCCGGAGCCGGGGCCGGTGGCGAGGAGCAGTTTGGAATTTGGACCGAGAATGGGACGATTTTTGCAAAGGTTTTGAGAATTTTTTAATTTTTTTGCAAAATTTTTCAAATTTTTTCCATTTTTTCGAATCAGTTGTTGGGGAAAACAAGCTTCCAGCTTCCCAGCTCTTGAAATGCTTCAAAATTAAGTGATCTTCAACTGATCTGATCGTTGTTTTAACTGATCTTCACTGATCTTTATTGATGTTTTGATCTGATTTACTGATCTTTACTGATCTAACTGATCTTTAATGAATCTTTAATTGATCTTTCAGGAACGCAACCTGAATTGCTCAAGAACTACTACTACTACTTCAACTGTTAATCCAAGTACTGGAGATCTGAATAACAGCTCTACAGACTCTAAATCGAGNTGTTTTGATCTGATTTACTGATCTTTACTGATCTAACTGATCTTTAATGAATCTTTAACTGATCTTTCAGGAACGCAACCTGAATTGCTCAAGAACTACTGCTACTACTTCAACTGTTAATCCAAGTACTGGAGATCTGAATAGCAGCTCTATAGACTCTAAATCGAGGCTGTGTGTCATTTCGGTGGAAGCCCAGGACGACGGCGAGCCTCCGCTGGCTGGACATGCGTTTGTGAATGTGTGGTTAACGGAGAGTAACGACCACGATCCTGTTATTCATTTCAGGTCTGAAAATATCTTTTTTAAGCGATTTCAGGTCAGAATTTGAGGTTCAAATCCTATTTTTCAGAATGTATCCTCCGGAATCGCGTTTCGCCTCGATCAGTGAGGCTGCCCAGGTGGGTGATACAATAGCCGTGGTTACGGTGACCGATGAGGATTACGGTCAAACTGCCGCGGTACGCATTGCTGACCAGGGCCGAGAAGACAACAGCAAGGTGGATCAGGCTGCCGAGAGAGGACGACAGACCTCCGATGGCAACTCGGCAGATTTATTTCGACTGGAATCTGGACAGAATTTTGGCGTGGTTCGGCTGAATCGACCGTTGACCAATGAGGATCTCACAAATCAGCCATTCCGGATTAAGCTGATCGCCACGGATAATGGTTATCCACTAGCAAGACAGGCGCATCGCACTCTTCAGGTATTATTGCTCTAAAATCAGGAATTTAGTGGTGGATTTAACGGTCTAGATCTAGATTAACGATAGATTGCTGTAACCGTCGCCGATTGCAGGTTTTCGTGTTGAGACGCAACGAGACGGCTCCACAGCTGCACGCCGAAGCTATTGAGCTGCATCTGCGTGACGACGCGCCTATTGGAGCGCTAGTGACTGTGGTGCGAGCCCAGGGTGCCGAATTGATGAATTTCAGCATTGTAACGCCGGTTGGGACGGTGGATAAATCTTCGAATCCGGAAGCATTTTTCCGCATTGGCGAACATTCAGGTCCGTCTATTAGGAGATCATTGATTTGATCGGATCGCTTGATCAGATCAGATCACTCTCGGGATCAACCGTCTTATCAGATGGCTTATCACTCTCGAGACTTATCATTTCGCTACTTCAGGCGTCATAACGGTGGCAAGATCGTTGCGGGATATCCAGCAGAACCGCAAAAATTCGGCCAGCCCACGAACCCATCAACTTCAAGTCGATGTCCGCACCGCCAGGCCAAGCCTGAAATCCGCACGCTGCGCCGTCACCATCCACATTGATTCCGTTCGTCGCCGCCCTCCAGTTTTCGAAAAAAAGCAATATTCCATCGAGGTGCCTGAGGATATAGCGCTGCAAAGTGTGCTACTCACTGTCAGAGCTCTATATCAGGTCTCAATTTTGTAAAAAATTCGAATTTTTTCGTGTTTTCAGTTTCGAATTTTGGGAAATTTTTTGAAAATTTTAAAATTTTCAACATAGAATTTGAAATTTCAACGTTTTCGACCGAATTTTGTTTTAGGACAGTGCAGACAATAGCAGCCAAATATCGTACAGTATTGTCGAGAGTGCGGCCAGGACCATGTTTGCCGTTAGGGAGAAGACTGGAGAAATCGTTTTGAGACGCCATCTGGATCGTGAAC